ACTGAATCTGCAATAGGTAAGCAGCTTGGTTTGAAGAAATCAACTGTGGGAGCAATTATTAGGAAATGGAAGACATACAAGACCACTGATAATCTCCCTCGATCTGGGGCTCCACGCAAGATCTCACCCTGTGGGGTCAAAATGATCACAAGAACGATGAGCAAAAATCCCAGAACCACACGGGGGGACCTAGTGAATGACCTGCAGAGAGCTGGGACCAAAGTAACAAAGCCTACCATCAGTAACACACTACGCCGCCAGGGACTCAAACACACTGCAGTGCCAGACGTGTCCCCCTGCTTAAGCCAGTACATGTCCAGGCCCATCTGAAGTTTGCTAGAGTGCATTTGGATGATCCAGAAGAGGATTGGGAGAATGTCATATGGTCAGATGAAACCAAAATATAACTTTTTGGTAAAAACTCAACTCGTCGTGTTTGGAGGACAAAGAATGCTGAGTTGCATCCAAAGAACACCATACCTACTGTGAAGCATGGGGGTGGAAACATAATGCTTTGGGGCTGTTTTTCTGCAAAGGGACCAGGACGACTGATCCGTGTAAAGGAAAGAATGAATGGGGCCATGTATCGTGTGATTTTGAGTGAAAACCTCCTTCCATCAGCAAGGGCATTGAAGATGAAACGTGGCTGGGTCTTTCAGCATGACAATGATCCCAAACACACCGCCCGGGCAACAAAGGAGTGGCTTCGTAAGAAGCATTTCAAGGTCCTGGAGTGGCCTAGCCAGTCTCCAGATCTCAACCCCATAGAAAATCTTTGGAGGGAGTTGAAAGTCTGTGTTGCCCAGCGACAGCCCCAAAACATCACTGCTCTAGAGGAGATCTGCATGGAGGAATGGGCCAAAATACCAGCAACAGTGTGTGAAAACCTTGTGAAGACTTACAGAAAACGTTTGACCTGTGTCATTGCCAACAAAGGGTATATAACAAAGTATTGAGAAACTTTTGTTATTCACCAAATACTTATTTTCCACCATAATTTGCAAATAAATTCATAAAAAATCCTACAATGTGATTATCTGGATTTTTTTTTCTCATTTTGTCTGTCATAGTTGACGTGTACCTATGATGAAAATTACAAGCCTCTCTCATCTTTTTAAGTGGGAGAACTTGCACAATTGGTGGCTGACTAAATACTTTTTTACCCCACTGTATATACGTTTTCAGTTTCTGTAATACACATGATTTCCAGTGTTCTATTTGTGACACTCATTTGTGTACGGGTTGATGGTCACTATACTAATTACTGCTGTTCCTACCTTTGACCTGTGAAACTGCCAGTATCAAATGTTTGCCAGTGTTGAATGTTATGGTTAAAGTTTGGCTCCATTCTGGGCCGGGAACACACTGATAATGTATCTTTGACCCTGTGTGATTCTGTAGCAGCTGATGTTGTGACTTCCAACAAACCTCTCGAGCTGATGTTCAGAGAACGTTTGGTACTGTCTGATTAGAATATAAAGGGCCTGTCCCCAAGAGGTCTGTTTCTGTTCTGTAGGTGTCTCCCTGTTGATTTATGATTGACTATATCCACGACTGCTCTTCTCTTTTATTCACCTAAACATCCCCTTTACAATGTGTATAGGCAATGGTACGAACCATGAATGAATGAATGGGGTCTCTTCTGAATGGACAATAAGCACTCAGTGCGGGAGGTAAGCTAGGAAAAGTTTGTGAGATTTAGGCATCCATGTGATTGTTGTGAAACGGTCTGCTGGGTGAGGGTTGACCTGGGGACACAGCGTTGGTTTACCTCTCTATGACTGGGCCAGGGCTGACCAGGGGACACAGCGTTGGTTTACCTCTCTATGACTGGGCCAGGGCTGACCAGGGGACACAGCGTTGGTTTACCTCTCTATGACTGGGCCAGGGCTGACCTGGGGACACAGCGTTGGTTTACCTCTCTATGACTGGCCCAGGGCTGACCAGGGGACACAGCGTTGGTTTACCTCTCTATGACTGGGCCAGGGCTGACCTGGGGACACAGCATTGGTTTACCTCTCTATGACTGGGCCAGGGCTGACCAGGGGACACAGCGTTGGTTTACCTCTCTATGACTGGGCCAGGGCTGACCAGGGGACACAGCGTTGGTTTACCTCTCTATGACTGGGCCAGGGCTGACCTGGGGACACAGCGTTGGTTTACCTCTCTATGACTGGGCCAGGGCTGACCAGGGGACAGAGCATTGGTTTACCTCTCTATGACTGGGCCAGGGCTGACCAGGGGACACAGCGTTGGTTTACCTCTCTATGACTGGGCCAGGGCTGACCAGGGGACACAGCGTTGGTTTACCTCTCTATGACTGGGCCAGGGCTGACCAGGGGACACAGCGTTGGTTTACCTCTCTATGACTGGGCCAGGGCTGACCAGGGGACACAGCGTTGGTTTACCTCTCTATGACTGGGCCAGGGCTGACCTGGGGACACAGCGTTGGTTTACTGCTCTATGAGGCCAGGTGTGAGGAGACTGCAAGGGACAATTAATATGCTAAATGTGGTTATTACCACCTGGGCTCCTCATTAACATGAATGAATGTTTGTTTATTTATTTATGTATGTGTGAGAGAGTGTGTGTGGGCTCCTTGTGTGTGAGAGAAAGTCAGTGTATGTGTGAGAGAAAGAGTGTGTCTGAGTCTGTGTGTTTACGTGAGAGTGTGTGTGTGTGTGTGGTGGGGAGTATTTAGGTCATTGTTTGTGAGAATAAGTGTGTGTGTGTATGTGTGTGTGTGTGTAGGTGTGCTCCGACCAGGGATTTACGTGTGTGTGTGTCATACATCTTCATGGTGCCTGTGTCACATGTTCCTGTCAGTCAGTCAGTCAGGGTGAAGCAAGCTGCCACATCACGTGACACACAAGGCCGCACGTAAAATTGATTATTGTCAACATTTGCTAAAAAGTCCTTTATCCATCACTTTTGGAATTTTCAATGCTTCCTGACTGTCTAGCTTTCCTTTCGATGACTGTTAGCAAGTTGGATTGAGTGAAGAGACTATACATTACTGTTAGCAAGCTGGACAGAGGGAAGAGACTATAAATTACTGTTAGCAAGCTGGACAGAGGGAAGAGACTATAAATTACTGTTAGCAAGCTGGACAGAGGGAAGAGACTATAAATTACTGTTAGCAAGCTGGACAGAGTGAAGAGACTATAAATTACTGTTAGCAAGCTGGACAGAGGGAAGAGACTATAAATTACTGTTAGCAAGCTGGACAGAGGGAAGAGACTATAAATGACTGTTAGCAAGCTGGACAGAGGGAAGAGACTATAAATGACTGTTATCAAGCTGGACAGAGTGAAGAGACTATAAATTACTGTTAGCAAGCTGGACAGGGGGAAGATACTATAAATGACTGTTATCAAGCTGGACAGAGTGAAGAGACTATAAATGTAGGTCCATTATCATTTCTACACAGTTTTAGTCATTTCAATGTCAATTGAGATCGTTTTTTCAAGAAAATGTTTTATTATATTTTAGGCATCCATGTGATTGGATGGTTTGAGTAAATAGGCCTTGAGTTTGACATGTGCTCAAAAAATTCAAAATACATCAACATCAACCGTTACATTAAAAACATATATATATATTTTTGTTTTTACATCATATTGAGCTCATTTCTACAGGACTGAATGGAATAGATACAGTATATTTGTTGTGTATCTCTGGCTTGCTGAAGTGTGATAATAAGTTGCTATGGAAACAGAAGGTGAAGTATCTTCCATTCTATTTCTTTCAGAGGGTTAACCTTGTGAAAAGAGCTATATTTTCCTTGAGAAACATATATTTTCCAAAAGACAAACAGCTTCTAAAGTGATTTTCCTCCAATGGAAACATCTTTAGAAGTAGAGGTGACCGTATTATCGACATGCTAGATGACCTCCATCAAGTCAAGTGCATCTGGTGAGGGGAAGAGCAGCAGTCTTCCTTTGAAGCCCATGGATCATTCCCAAATGGCACCCTATTCCCTACATAGTGCATTGCACCCCTATGGGACCTGGTCAAAAGTAGTGCACTACATAGGGAATAGGGTGCCATTTGGGATGCAACCTGCTCTTTTAAATCGCAAGTTAAACTGGAGTAAATGAAATGTTTAAAGTGTACCAAAGTAAAAAGCTTTAGTCTTTGGTGAAAGTCCTATTCAGTCCAACTTTAAACAGCTCAGTCTGAAGTAGGAGTTAGAAACTGTTAACCCCTTTTTAAAAGAATGAGCTTGAGTTCGAAGAGAGAACATTCCTCTCATCCTCTTCCCCTTTCCTTACTGATGACAGCAGGGTATGGCAGGACAACAGGATAGCTAATACTAAAACTGTTTTGCTGTCCCTTCTGCTGACTGCTGGAGATCTGTATTCATTTACTAAAACAAACATAACAGCAATGTTTCAATGGCATAATCATTCATGGAAATGTTTATTGTACAATCAAATAGCTAATTAATATATAATCAGTATAAACCTAACATAAGCTTCATGCAATACAATGTTACTGATATGAATATGCAGACATGCATGGTATTTACAGTATTAGCCATTATAGATGGACATAAGGTGTGAGCATTTTCTTCTGAAATTACATAACATTCACTACACCTTTCCTGCAGTCAAATGACCAAATCACCCTATAGTGGCCTCATGGGTGGAATGTTATTAATATATTTTATATTTTCATAATTAATCAACATTATTTTACAAAACCTGCCAAAAATCACAAGGTTTTGTTATATTTCAGTCTTCTGTGATATATAAAGTATATAAAGTGTAATATTGGGATGCAAACTCAAAATGTAATACATTTTAACTCTATATCTGACATGGTCCAGGTGTCTTCTTTTTTTAAAGCCCATAACCATGTGTGTGAGGTGTATACTTTTGTTTCAAAGTAGATTTTATTAAGACTACCAAGAAATGTTTCCAAAAGAGAGCCAAAGCTCTGAACATCAGGGTCTATCTCTGAATTCTCTAAGTTCAGTTTATATGTTCAGTTGCCTGTCAGAGGCCTTGTGTCCAGAGGTTAGGGTGTGAGATAACCAAACAAGCCTGCTGGTCACTCTGACCCCTGACCTCTGACCCCTTACCCAAGCCTGACAGATCAGAGCTGGAGGTAGGGGAGACGGGCACACTGCCGCTGAGCTCCTGTCCACGGCTCATGTCCAAGGGGTCACGTTGTGTCCCTATATGCGCCCTGCTGACCCCTGTGTTACTGCCTTGGAGCTTAGTGGGATCTGTGGGGTAGAGGTGATGCTGCTGGTGCTGGTAAATGCTTTCATCCTGCTGGCTACAGGTGAAGTATATGTCTGGATGGAGTCATCATAACTGCCCCTGATGCCTAACAGGTAGGTGGACGTCATCCAGATCCAGAGAAAGGAAATCAGTTGGTGGAGTCACTCTCAATGTCTATACCTTCTACATAGCAGTCCAGGTTGAGGAGCTCAGGGTCAGAGTCAGTGCAGGAGAGGGCGGGCTTTTCTATAAGTATACACTGCAACAGTTCCTGGTCTACGGGACACTGAGCACTCGGCATCCAATCAGATGTGTCCCAGTGATAGCCTGCTCAGGGCGAAAATGTCATCAGTGAAAAACAAGCATCACAAGTATGTACCAATGATTCATATTTTGGCACAAATAAGCTGTGCACCGCTGTTCATTGAGATGTGATTTAGTTTAATAATTAGTACACAATTAGATTATTTCAGTGTCTGTCTTCCTTTACACACAAATACACATAGAGACATTCATAGATCATCTCAGTAGCCTGTTACTGTGGCCATTGTTGGAGAATAGACCTTATGTCTCTATCATAATCTGTTCAAAAGTTATTGGAGTTTTTACCCTTGTAGGATGGCAAAGATTAGGGTCACGGTAACTAAATGAATGGAGCCCAGAGAAAATAAAGTGGTCAAAAATCAGGAAAATAGCATTGTGTCAGCTAGGATGGATGCTGTGAGAGAATGATGGCCATTTGACAGGCTCACCATTGAACTCATCATCTGTTCTTGAATCAGGAGGACATAAAATAACATAGAGGTAAGATAGATAACGATTTTGAAACATGACATGTCATATTAATGCAAAATTCCGGTTATTTTTCTAAGATTTCTCTGAAAAACAAGTGTATCTCTGTGAAACGGAGCACTGAGCGTACCGGAAGCCATTTATTTTCAAAGCCTTTTACAGTTAATTCATCTCGTGTCATGTTAATTAAGTGATAACGCCCGAGAAGCCGGTGTTTGGAGGATATATTGGCACGGGTGTTGTTAGGCCCGAGACGAAGTCGAGGCAAACTGTGCCAATATATCCTCCAAACACCGGCTTCGAGGGCATTATCACTTTTATACAACGGGTTACCAACATACTGTGTCTATCAATAATGATTGATAGACATATATATTTTTTAAAACATTATTTTGATGAATTTATTCATACTATTTCTTCCACGAGATGTAGTCCTGACACAAATCTGGGGTTGCTACCCAAGCCGGCTGGTCGTTCGTTCTATCGGTTCGGTTGCCAGAGACGCGACACAGTAAAGTATCTTTTTTCTAAATCTATGGACACAATGTTCCATTGCCATGATGGCTGGCAACGTTCTTATCCCTTACTTGCTAGCTAATAAACTTTGACTAACACAGTCACGTCAAACAGTATAGCCAGAATAACAGCAAAGTAGCTGCATTTGCGTTTGTTTAAGCTGTTTTCTAGTGATTTTGGTGGGGATACATCCATAACAATGAGCCAATGATGTGCGATTTCGCCTGGCATAGAACATTTGCTCTCTTGCCAGGCCACTGTTCAGAAGAGATAGCCAACTACACAGCTAACACAATCATTTCAAACTGAAGCTGGAATGACAGCAAACTAGCTGCATTTCGTGTTTTTCTACTGACATTTCTTTGTATATATCCATAAAAATGATGCTGATTCATGATTTCGACTGGCTGAGAAACGGCTCCCGACACCATGTTCATTACCATAGAACAGCTGGATACTGAATTTCAATATTGAAACAGACAGCAAGGTCATTACACATCTCCGCTGCTGAAAACCAAATGCTAGTCTAAAAGAAATGTGAGATAATGTCTAGATACTTTTTACAGTGGAGATCAAGTTTATAAAGTGCCTGGCTGGGCTGATGAGACAGTGGATTGCGCAGTCAGATGGAACAGAGTAAATAGGCATTTTAATGTCATAGATTTAGCCGGTGGTAACTTGTGGAATAGACACCGGCTGGAATGCATTTTCAAACAATCAGCATCCAGTATTAGACCCACCCGTTGTATAATTTAGCTTTTTGCGACCCGCAGAAACAACTTTGAAGACGACCACAGCATATAAAATCCTCAAAAGTCACTGCGAGAAGCGGATTCGCTCTGTCAACAGAGCTCGGTACGTATTATGGTATGTATTTGGTTACGAAATCCAACTTTTTGGATATAATGTTAATGATATGTTAGAGAAAGACCCAACTGAATGATTCAGAACATGAATAATCATAAAGGAAGTAAAATTACATCACCAAAGTGCGTGACACTCTAATAATTAGTGATTTCTCAACATCATTGTGAAATCTCATCTGTATTAAATCAGATTAGACACCCGCAGGCCTTCAACAGCACATTAAACATTAAGATGTTATAGAGGGGTTGATTTACAAGGCAGCACATTATGTTAAAAGGTCCTTTCTGAGCGCAATTCTGCATTCACTATGGTAAGCTAACAACGCATGAAATAAGAGGAAAGAAGACAAGCACATCACCTCTGGGGTTTTGAAGAGAGAAATAAAATATTTCAAGTTTAAAATCAAGAGTTTATACTACAAAGAGACAAATTAACACCCATGGGAGTCAGTGTATTAGACTGATGCAGACTAAAGAGCATATACTGCATGTAATGATGTAGCCAGAACCACTGGGACCTAGTCAGAACCACTGGGACCGAGTTAGAACCACTGGGACCTAGTCAGAACCACTGGGACCTAGTCAGAACCCCTGGGACCTAGTCAGAACCACTGGGACCTAGTCAGAACCACTGGGACCTAGTCAGAACCACTGGGACCTAGTCAGAACCCCTGGGACCTAGTCTGAACCCCTGGGACCTAGTCAGAACCACTAGGACCTAGTCAGAACCCCTGGGACCTAGTCAGAACCACTGGGACCTAATCAGAACCCCTGGGACATAGTCAGAACCACTTGGACCTAGTCAGAACCCCTGGGACCTAGTCAGAACCACTGGGACCTAGTCAGAACCCCTGGGACCTAGTCAGAACCACTGGGACCTAGTCAGAACCATTGGGACCTAGTCAGAACCCCTGGGACCTAGTCAGAACCACTGGGACCTAGTCAGAACCCCTGGGACCTAGTCAGAACCACTGGGACCTAGAACACAACTATATACTGACTCCTTGAACACAACTATATACTGACTCCCTGAACACAACTATCTACTGACTCTCTGAACACAACTATCTACTGACTCCCTGAACACAACTATCTACTGACTCCCTGAACACAACTATCTGCTGACTCCCTGAACACAACTATCTACTGACTCCATGAACACAACTATCTACTGACTCCCTGAACACAACTATCTACTGACTCCCTGAACACAACTATCTACTGACTCCCTGAACACAACTATCTACTGACTCCCTGAACAAAACTATCTACTGACTCCCTGAACACAACTATATACTGACTCCCTGAACACAACTATCTACTGACTCCCTGAAAACAACTATATACTGACTCCCTGAACACAACTATCTACTGACTCCCTGAACACAACTATCTACTGACTCCCTGAACACAACTATCTACTGACTCCCTGGACACAACTATCTACTGAATCCATGAACACAACTATCTACTGACTCCCTGAACACAACTATCTACTGACTCCCTGAACACAACTATATACTGACTCCCTGAACACAACTATCTACTGACTCCGTGGACACAACTATCTACTGACTCCCTGGACACAACTATATACTGACTCCCTGAACACAACAATATACTGACTCCCTGGACACAACTATCTACTGACTCCCTGAACACAACTATCTACTGACTCCATGAACACAACTATATACTGACTCCCTGGACACAACTATATACTGACTCCATGAACACAACTATCTACTGACTCCCTGAACACAACTATCTACTGACTCCCTGAACACAACTATCTACTGACTCCCTGAACACAACTATCTACTCACTCCCTGAACACAACTATCTACTGACTCCCTGGACACAACTATCTACTGACTCCCTGAACAGAACTATCTACTGACTCCCTGAACACAACTATCTACTGACTCCCTGAACACAACTATCTACTGACTCCCTGAACACAAATATCTACTGACTCCCTGAACAAAACTATCTACTGACTCCCTGAACACAACTATCTACTGACTCCCTGAACACAACTATCTACTGACTCCCTGAACACAACTATATACTGACTCCCTGAACAAAACTATCTACTGACTCCCTGAACACAACTATCTACTGACTCCCTGAACACAACTATCTACTGACTCCCTGGACACAACTATCTACTGAATCCATGAACACAACTATCTACTGACTCCCTGAACACAACTATCTACTGACTCCCTGAACACAACTATATACTGACTCCCTGAACACAACTATCTACTGACTCCGTGGACACAACTATCTACTGACTCCCTGGACACAACTATATACTGACTCCCTGAACACAACAATATACTGACTCCCTGGACACAACTATCTACTGACTCCCTGAACACAACTATCTACTGACTCCATGAACACAACTATATACTGACTCCCTGGACACAACTATATACTGACTCCCTGAACACAACAATATACTGACTCCCTGGACACAACTATCTACTGACTCCCTGAACACAACTATCTACTGACTCCATGAACACAACTATATACTGACTCCCTGGACACAACTATATACTGACTCCATGAACACAACTATCTACTGACTCCCTGAACAAAACTATCTACTGACTCCCTGAACACAACTATCTACTGACTCCCTGAACACAACTATATACTGACTCCCTGAACACAACTATCTACTGACTCCGTGGACACAACTATCTACTGACTCCCTGGACACAACTATATACTGACTCCCTGAACACAACAATATACTGACTCCCTGAACACAACTATCTACTGACTCCATGAACACAACTATATACTGACTCCCTGGACACAACTATATACTGACTCCCTGAACACAACAATATACTGACTCCCTGGACACAACTATCTACTGACTCCCTGAACACAACTATCTACTGACTCCATGAACACAACTATATACTGACTCCCTGGACACAACTATATACTGACTCCATGAACACAACTATCTACTGACTCCCTGAACACAACTATCTACTGACTCCCTGAACACAACTATCTACTGACTCCCTGAACACAACTATATACTGACTCCCTGAACACAACTATCTACTGACTCCGTGGACACAACTATCTACTGACTCCCTGGACACAACTATATACTGACTCCCTGAACACAACAATATACTGACTCCCTGGACACAACTATCTACTGACTCCCTGAACACAACTATCTACTGACTCCATGACACAACTATATACTGACTCCCTGGACACAACTATATACTGACTCCCTGAACACAACAATATACTGACTCCCTGGACACAACTATCTACTGACTCCCTGAACACAACTATCTACTGACTCCATGAAACACAACTATATACTGACTCCCTGGACACAACTATATACTGACTCCATGAACACAACTATCTACTGACTCCCTGAACAAAACTATCTACTGACTCCCTGAACACAACTATCTACTGACTCCCTGAACACAACTATCTACTCACTCCCTGAACACAACTATCTACTGACTCCCTGGACACAACTATCTACTGACTCCCTGAACAGAACTATCTACTGACTCCCTGAACACAACTATCTACTGACTCCCTGAACACAACTATCTACTGACTCCCTGAACACAACTATCTACTGACTCCCTGAACACAACTATATACTGACTCCCTGAACAAAACTATCTACTGACTCCCTGAACACAACTATCTACTGACTCCCTGGACACAACTATCTACTGACTCCCTGAACACAACTATCTACTGACTCCCTGAACACAACTATCTACTGACTCCCTGAACACAACTATATACTGACTCCCTGAACACAACTATCTACTGACTCCCTGAACACAACTATATACTGATTCCCTGAACACACTATCTACTGACTCCCTGACCCTGACTCCCTGAACACAACTATATACTGACTCCCTGAACACAACTATCTACTGACTCCCTGAACACAACTATATACTGACTCCCTGAACACAACTATCTACTGACTCCCTGAACACAACTATCTACTGACTCCCTGAACACAACTATCTACTGACTCCCTGGACACAACTATATACTGACTCCCTGAACACAACTATCTACTGACTCCCTGAACACAACTATCTACTGACTCCCTGAACACAACTATCTACTGACTCCCTGGACACAACTATCTACTGACTCCATGAACACAACTATCTACTGACTCCCTGAACACAACTATCTACTGACTCCCTGAACACAACTACTACTGACTCCTGAACACAACTATCTACTGACTCCCTGAACACAACTATCTACTGACTCCCTGAACACAACTATCTACTGACTCCCTGAACACAACTATCTACTGACTCCCTGAACACAACTATCTACTGACTCCCTGAACACAACTATATACTGACTCCCTGAACACAACTATCTACTGACTCCCTGAACACAACTATATACTGACTCCCTGAAACACAACTATCTACTGACCTCCCTGAACACAACTATCTACTGACTCCTGAACACAACTATCTACTGACTCCCTGAACAAACTATCTACTGGACTCCCTGAACACAACTATCTACTGACTCCCTGGAACAACAACTATCTACTGACTCCTGAACACAACTATCTACTGACTCCCTGAACAACTTATCTACTGACTCCCTGAAAACAACTATCTACTGACTCCCTGAACACAACTATCTACTGACTCCCTGAAACATAACTATATACTGACTCCCTGAACACAACTATCTACTGACTCTCCCTGAACACAACTATCTACTGACTCCCTGGACACAACTATATACTGACTCCATGAACACAACTATCTACTGACTCCCTGAACACAACTATCTACTGACTCCCTGAACACAACTATCTACTGACTCCCTGAACACAACTATCTACTGACTCCCTGAACACAACTATATACTGACTCCTGAACACAACTATCTACTGACCTCCATGAACACACTATCTACTGACTCCCTGAACACAACTATATACTGACTCCCTGAACACAACTATCTACTGACTCCCTGAACACAACTATCTACTGACTCCCTGAACACAACTATCTACTGACTCCCTGAACACAACTATCTACTGACTCCCTGAACACAACTATCTACTGACTCCCTGAACACAACTATCTACTGACTCCCTGAACACAACTATCTACTGACTCCTGAACACAACTATCTACTGACTCCCTGAACACAACTACATACTGACTCCCTGAACACAACTATCTACTGACTCCCTGAACACAACTATCTACTGACTCCCTGAACACAACTATCTACTGACTCCCTGAACACAACTATCTACTGACTCCCTGAACACAACTATCTACTGACTCCCTGAACACAACTACATACTGACTCCCTGAACACAACTATCTACTGACTCCCTGAACACAACTATCTACTGACTCCCTGAACACAAACTATCTACTGACTCCCTGAACACAACTATCTACTGACTCCTGAACACAACTATCTACTGACTCCCTGAACACAACTATCTACTGACTCCCTGAACACAACTATCTACTGACTCCCTGAACACAACTATCTACTGACTCCCTGAACACAACTATCTACTGACTCCCTGAACACAACTATCTACTGAATCCCTGAACACAACTATCTATTGACTCCATGAACACAACTATCTACTGACTCCATGAACACAACTATCTACTGACTCCCTGAACACAACTATCTACTGACTTCCTGAACACAACTATATACTGACTCCCTGAACACAACTATCTACTGACTCCCTGAACACAACTATCTACTGACTCCCTGAACACAACTATCTACTGACTCCCTGAACACAACTATCTACTGACTCCCTGAACACAACTATCTACTGACTCCCTGAACACAACTACATACTGACTCCATGAACACAACTATCTACTGACTCCCTGAACACAACTATCTACTGACTCCCTGAACACAACTATCTACTGACTCCCTGTACACAACTATCTAATGACTCCCTGGACACAACTATCTACTGACTCCCTGAACACAACTATCTACTGACTCCCTGAACACAACTATCTACTGACTCCCTGGACACAACTATCTACTGACTCCCTGAACACAACTATCTACTGACTCCCTGAACACAACTACATACTGACTCCCTGGACACAACTACTACTGACTCCCTGACACAACTATCTACTGACTCCCTGAACACACTATCTACTGACTCCCTGAACACAACTATCTACTGACTCCCTGAACACAACTATCTACTGACTCCCTGAACACAACTATCTACTGAACTCCCTGGACACAACTATTACTGACTCCTGAACACTACTTATCTGACTCCCTGAACACAACTATCTACTGACTCCCTGAAACACAACTATCTACTGACTCCTGTAACACAACTATATACTGACTCCCTGAACACAACTATCTACTGACTCCCTGAACACAACTATCTACTGACTCCCTGAACACAACTATCTACTGACTCCTGAACAACAACTATCTACTGACTCCCTGAACACAACTATCTACTGACTCCCTGAACACAACTATCTACTGACTCCCTGAACACAACTATCTACTGACTCCCTGAACACAACTATTACTGACTCCTGAACACAACTATCTACTGACTCCCTGAAACAACTATCTACTGACTCCCTGAACACAACTATCTACTGACTCCCTGAACACAACTATCTACTGACTCCCTGAACACAACTATCTACTGACTCCCTGAACACAACTATCTACTGACTCCCTGAACACAACTATCTACTGACTCCCTGAACACAACTATCTACTGACTCCCTGAACACAACTACTACTGACTCCATGAACACAACTATCTACTGACTCCCTGAACACACTATCTACTGACTCCCTGAACACAACTATCTACTGACTCCCTGAACACAACTATACTGACTCCACTGAACACAACTATCTACTGACTCCCTGAACAACTACTATACTGACTGCCCTGAACACAACTATCTACTGAAAACTCACCCTGAACACAACTATCTACTGACTCCCTGAACACAACTATCTACTGACTCCCTGAACACAAACACATACTGACTCCATGACACAACTATCTACTGACTCCCTGAACACAACTATCTACTGACTCCCTGAACACAACTATCTACTGACTCCCTGACACAACTATCTATGACTCCCTGGACACAACTATCTTGACTACACTCCCTGAACACAACTATCTACTGACTCCCTGAACACAACTATCTACTGACTCCCTGGACACAACTATCTACTGACTCCCTGAACACAACTATCTACTGACTCCCTGAACACAACTATATACTGACTCCCTGAACACAAACTATCTACTGACTCCCTGAACACATCTATCTACTGACTCCCTGAACACAACTATCTATTGACTCCCTGGACACAACTATCTTCTGACTCCCTGAACACAACTATCTACTGACTCCATGAACACAACTATCTACTGACTCCCTGGACACAACTATCTACTGACTCCCTGAACACAATCATCTACTGACTCCCTGGACACAACTATATACTGACTCCATGAACACAACTATCTTCTGACTCCTGGAACACAACTATCTACTGACTCCCTGAACAAACTATCTACTACGATCCCTGAAAACTTTACGACTCCCTGACACAATTATCTACTGACTCCTGGACACAACTATATACTGACTCCATGAACACAACTATCTTCTGACTCCCTGAACACAACTATCTACTGACTCCCTGAACACAACTATCTACTGACTCCATGAACAACTATCTACTGACTCCCTGGAACACAACTATTACTGACTCCCTGAACACAACTATCTACTGACTCCCTGGACACAACTATCTACTGACTCCTGGACACAACTATATACTGACTCCCATGAACACAACTATCTACTGACCCCTGAACACAACTATCTACTGACTCCCTGAACAAACTATCTACTGACTCCCTGACACAACTATCTACTGACTCCCTGAACACAACTATCTACTGACTCCCTGAACACAACTATCTACTGACTCCATGAACACAACTATCTACTGACTCCCTGAACACAACTATCTACTGACTCCCTGAACACAACTATCTACTGACTCCCTGAACACAACTATCTACTGACTCCCTGAACACAACTATCTACTGACTCCCTGGACACAACTATCTACTGACTCCCTGAACACAACTATCTACTGACTCCCTGAACACAACTATATACTGACTCCCTGAACACAACTATCTACTGACTCCCTGAACACAACTATCTACTGACTCCCTGAACACAACTATCTACTGACTCCCTGAACACAACTATCTATTGAATCCCTGGACACAACTATCTTCTGACTCCCTGAACACAACTATCTACTGACTCCATGAACACAACTATCTACTGACTCCCTGGACACAACTATCTACTGACTCCCTGAACACAACTATCTACTGACTCCCTGAACACAACTATCTATTGACTCCCTGGACACAACTATCTACTGACTCCCTGAACACAACTATCTACTGACTCCCTGGACACAACTATCTACTGACTTCATGAACACAACTATCTACTGACTCCCTGGACACAACTATATACTGACTCCATGAACACAACTATCTTCTGACTCCCTGAACACAACTATCTACTGACTCCCTGAACACAATTATCTATTGAGTCCCTGGACACAACTATCTTCTGACTCCCTGAACACAACTATCTACTGACTTCATGAACACAACTATCTACTGACTCCCTGAACACAACTATCTACTGACTCCCTGGACACAACTACAGTGCCCTCTACTAATATTGGCACCCTTGGTAACTATGAGCAAAACGGGATGTGAAACAATTTCTTTGCTGTTTATCCTCTTGGTCTTTCATTCAAAATATTAACAAAAATCGAACCTTTAGTTAAAGTAAAAATGATTGAAAAAAATAAATGTGAAATAAATGCAATAAATATTTTTCTCCGAAACATGTGTGCCACAATTATTGGCACCCCTAGAAATGCATGAGTAAAATCTAACTGAAGTATATTCCCATTCATATTTTACATTTTTAAGTTCACCTGAGTGATTAGGAACAATTAAGTGGTAAGCCATGACTTCCTGTTTCACAGGGTATAAATATGAGGTGACACACAGGCCAAGATCCCATAGTCATCCATCACTATGGGAAAGACCCGAGAATACAGTAATGATGTGCGACAAAAGGCTGTTGAGCTGCACAAATCTGGAAATGGCTATAAAAAAATAGCTCAACGGTTGAAAATGCCCATTTCCACTATCAGGGCATTAATTAAGAAGTTTAAAGCAACTGGAGATGTTAACAATCGGCCTGGAAGAGGATGTGTGTCTATATTGACCCCACGCACAGTGAGGAGGATGGGTCGAGTGGCCAAAAAATCTCCAAGGATCACAGCTGGAGAATTGCAGACGTTAGTTGGGTCTTGGGGTCAGAAAGTCTCCAAAACTACGATCAGACGCCACCTACATAACCACAAGTTGTTTGGGAGGGTTGCCATAAAAAAGCCTTTGCTGTCATCAAACAACAAACTTAAGCGCCTACAGTTTGCCAAACGTTACTGGATCTTTCAATGGGACCGGGTTCTATGGTCAGAAGAGACCAAAATATAGCTTTTTGGAAACAAACACCAGAGGTGGGTTTGACGTAGACAGAACGATAGCCATGCATTAAAGTACCTCATCCCCAATGTGAAGTATGGTGGTGGATCTTTGATGTTGTGGGGCTGTTTTTCTTCCAAAGGCCCTGGACAAATTGTTAGGATACATGGTATCATGGACTCCATCAAGTACCAGCAGATATTACATCAAAACCTGACTGCCTCTGCTAGGAAGCTTAAACTGGGCCGTAGTTGGATCTTCCAGCAGGACAATGATCCAAAGCACACCTCAAAATCAACACAAAAATGGTTCACTGACCACATAATCAAGGTTTTGCCATGACCATCCCAGTTCCCTGACCTAAACCCCATAGAAAGCATGTGGGATGAGCTGAAGAGGAGAGTCCACAAGCATGGACCTCGGAATCTGAAGAATCTGGAGAGATTCTGTATGGAGGAATGGTCTCAGATCCCTTGCCATGTGTTCTCTAACCTCATTACACTTTATAGGAGAAGACTCAGAGCTGTTATGTTGGCAAAGGGAGGTTGCACAAAGTATTGAATGAAGGGGTGCCAATAATTGTGGCACACATATATTAGAGAAAAATATTTGTTTTATGATAAGAATAAACATTTTCTTTCAATTTTACTTTATTTAAAGGTTAGATTTTTGTGAATATTTTAAATGAAAGACCAAGAGGATAAACAATAAAGAAAAAAATGTCACAGCCCGTTTTGCTCATATTTACCAAGGGTGCCAATATTAGTGGAGGGCACTGTATATACTGACTCCATGAACACAACTATCTACTGACTCCCTGAACACAACTATCTACTGACTCCCTGTCCCTGAACAGAACTATCTAAATGACATGAACACAACTATCTACTGACTGCCTGAACACAACTATCTAGATCCTGAACACAACTATTACTGACTCCTGACAGAACAATCTACTGACCATGAACACAACTATCTACTGACTCCTGAACAAACTATTACTGACTCCTGGCAAATATCTATGAACCCGGACACAACTATATACTGACTCCCTGGCACAACTATCTTATGACTCCTGACACAACTATCTACTGACGTCATGACACAACTATTACTGACTCCGGGACAACTATATACTGACTCCCTGAACACAACTATCTACTGACTCCCTGAACAGAACTATCTACTGACTCCATGAACACAACTATCTACTGACTCCCTGAACACAACTATCTACTGACTCCCTGGACACAACTATCTACTGACTCCCTGGACACAACTATATACTGACTCCCTGGACACAACTATCTACTGACTCCTGAACACAACTATCTACTGACTCCATGCCCTGGACCAACTATCTACTGACTCCCTGAACACACTATCTACTGGACTCCATGGACCAACTATGCTACTGACTCCTGGACACACTATCTAACTGACTCCCTGGACACAACTATCTACTGACTCCATGAACACAACTATCTCCTTACTCCCTGAACACACTATATACTGACTCCGCTGAACACAACTATCTACTTACTCCATGAACACAACTATCTACTGACCTCCCTTACCACATACATACTGACTCCATGAACACAACTATCTACTGACTCCCTGAACACAACTATCTACTGACTCCCTGGACACAACTATATACTGACTCCCTGAACACAACTATCTACTGAAACAACTAGTGTAGTATAAGATAGGAATTATACCTTATTTTCCACAGTAAATACTGTGTGATTGAAGTCCTATGAGGGCTAAGGAGGGAGTGACAAGAGAAATCTAACATTAGTACACAATAAATGTAACAAATACTACATGGTTAATACTCCATTGAGTAATGGTGGTGGAAATAAATACATAGGAATCTAACCATATTTTTCAGAATAAACAAATGGTAATGGTATGGATTGGAACCACAGAAGCCACAAACTACACTTAACATACGAGTTCAGGACAAGACAAGGACGCGATCTTACACTTACATGTTACATCAGAAGACTATCAGCAGACTATCAAGAGATTGTCAGACTATCAGGAGACTATCAGACTATAAGAAGACAATCAGAAGACTGTTGGGCAACTTCCCACAACGTCAATGTAAATGACAACTTACACTGTGCCCCCTGTTAAACCCTGACCTGGGGCTGTGCATAGATTTAATCCAAACTGGAGCTGAGACTAGAGGAAAAGAGTGGAAAAATGACAAGTGATGTAAGAGAGAACACTCATTCAGAGGTATCATTACAGGTAGAAGGTGTTGCCTAATAACATGTATTAGCCTGGATTCCAGTACTTACACTGTGATGTTTCTCACCCTGTCATCTTGGATGAGTAAAGAAACCTACCATTCTCATCTCCTGTTCCTGACTGGTAGGAACAGAGGAACTCTGAGGCACTGCCATGGTTTTCCTGGTCTTTCCTAGATCTATGAGTGGAGACCGGATCGAGCTCCACTTCCTCTTCTGGAAGAGACAAACATACACAATCACTTCTTAGTCCTTATGACCTCATTGACGATGCTGATGAAGACAACATTGTTTGATTCACCATTAACACAAAGGTATCATACTGTACTGTAGGTAAAGCCACATCATGTGCAATTTAATTTGGTTGTTTACAATACAAATACTTGCAGGTTATCAAAGTAAAGCTGATAGGTAAAAATTTGAAAACTATGAATGACAAAACAGTGTCTTCTCATTTACTACTCCAAGCCTCCAGTCATCTGCTCTCTCACCATCATAGTGGTAGTCCCAGCAGGGTTTCTGGATGGACTCAGTCTCTGAGGGGGTGTTAGAATGCGGGCGTCGTGGCAGGGTGGGAGCCACACTGCACACTGCCACCCCTCTCCTCAGGATGGGCATGGGGTCTGGGTCAGGCGAGGTGCTGTGCTCCATGGGTTCCACCAACCCAAGGCCTTCGCAGGAACCCTTGTTCAGGTTGTGGCGTGAGTTGCTGGGGTAACTAGGGGTGTAGGAGATGGGTCTAACTGGGATCTGTGGTGGAACGTCCAAGTAGACTGGGACTCCCCGGCTGGACTTGGCCTCCAGGTAAGCCCTCCCAAAGAAGTCTTTATCATCTTCATCCTCAAGGTTCAAAGGTCAAAAATTACATTTATTTGTCATATATTAAAAAATACAATCAAACGCTTACTGACAACAGATATGATACACTAAGATATCATACCTCATCTTCCTCAGATCCGTCCTGTTTGGCCCTCTTCCGGACGGCTACAAAGAGCAGCGCCAGGCCGAAGATGGTGACCAGGAACAAGGCCAGTCCCAGGAGCTCCTCCAGGCCGATGGACCAGCTGGTGAACAGCAGCTCGTTCCTGACCAACACCTCCAGCTCACACTGCCGCCCAGCGAACCCCACCACGCAGCTACAGTTGAAGGAGCCATAGGTGTTTACACACACACCTCCGTTAGAACAGAGGCTCTCTGTCTGCATACACTCATCTACGTCCCCAAGGCACCTGGGCAGAAGAACACCGTCCAGAGTCACATTCACATACACCATATTTATGGAGTGTGTCCCAAATGGTCCCCATATAGTGCACTACTTTTGACCAGAGCTCTGTAGTGCACTATGTAGGGAATAGGATGCCATTTGGGATGCATACATCCAGAATCTATATACAGTATATATTGCAGCTCTGGCACAGTGTGACATCATGGATGTGTCATACCAAACCCTGAGTGGAAGAAAGCTGGTTAATGAGAGTAATGGATTCTGCTTACCGTTCTCCCTGAAACTCCGGCTCACACTCACACACAGCCCCATCCAGGCTGTCGATACAACGTCCACCGTTTCTGCAGGGGTTATCTCTGCAGTATGGACCAACCTCACACCTGGACATAGACACTCTTTTAACTTCCCATCCATCATGTATTTTTTCAGTTTTTCACCAACAATAACAATGCTATGAGAAACTTCCAACCCCACAGGATAGCAGACATGTGACTAACACGTTCCAAACTAAAGACATTGTGAGACCTTGGGACTATAAGGTTCTATCTGAGCAAAGCATAGTTCAGCGATATTGAGCATTAAAGTCTCAGAACTGTTTTGTAGTGAATTCTTCTTTCATAACTCATTAAGGTCCTCACCGTAAAGGTACAGTCCCTTCAGAAAGTATTCACACCCCTTGACTTTTTCCATATATTGTTGTGTTACAGCCATATTGAGTCACTGGCCTACACACAATACCCCATAATGTTAAAGTGGAATTATGTTTTTCGAAATTGTTACAAATTAATAAAAAATAAAAAGCTGAAATGTCTTGAGTCAATAAGTATTCAACCCCTTTGTTATGGCAAGCCTAAATAAGTTCAGGAGTAAAAATGTGCTTAACAAGTCACATAATAAGTTGCATGGGCTCACTCCGTGTGCAATAATAGTGTTTAACGTGATTTTTGAATAATTACCCCATCTCTGTACCCCACACATACAATTATCTGTAAGGTCCCTCAGTCGAGCAGTGAATTTCAAACACAGATTCAACCACAAAGACCAGGGAGGTTTTCCAATGCCTAGCAAAGAAGGGCACCTATTGATAGATGGGTCAAAAAAAAAGCAGACATTGAATATCCCTTTGAGCATGGTGAAGTTATTAATTCCACTTTGGATGGTGTATCAATACACCCAGTCACGACAAAGATACAGGTGTCCTTCCTAACTCAGTTGCCAGAGAGGAAGGAAATCGCTCAGGGATTTCACCATGAGGCCAATGGTGACTTTAAAACAGTTACAGAGTTGAATGGCTGTGATAGGAGAAAACTGAGGATGGATCAACAACATTGTAGTTACTCCACAATATTAACCTAATTGACAGAGTGCAAAGAACGAAGCCTGTACAGAATCTAATATTCCAAAACATGCATCCTATTTGCAACAAGGCACTAAAGTAATACTGCAAAAAATGTGGCAAATACATTTTATTTTTGTCCTGAATACAACTTGTTATGTTTGGGGCAAATCCAATACATTACTGAGTACCACTCTCCATATTTTCAAGCATAGTGGTGGCTGTTATGGGTATGCTTGTAATTGTTAAGGACTGGGGATTTTTTCAGGATAAAAACGAAACGGAATGGAGCTAAGCACAGGCAAAATCCTAGAGGAAAACCTGGTTCATTCTGCCTTCCACCAGACACTGGGAGATTAATTCACCTTTCAGCAGGACAATAACCTAAGACACAAGGCCAAATCTGCACCAGAGTTGTTTACCAAGAAGACAGTGAATATTCCTAAGTGGCTGTGTTACAGTTTTGACTTAAATCTACTTGAAAATGTATGGCAAGACTGAAAATGGTTGTCTAGCAATGATCAACAACCAATTCGACAGAGTTTGAAGATTTTTGAAATGAATAATGGGCAAATGTTGCACAATTCAGGTGTGGAAAGCTCTTAGAGACTTACCCAGAAAAACTCACAGCTATAATCGCTGCCAAGGTGCTCTACAAATGTC